AACACATTTAAAATAGTAGAAAATACGATAAACCAAACAAAATCATAAAATACTAACTATTTAGTTTCGTTGTAGAGAGGAGGAGGAGGAGTAACGAAAAAAGATAATTAATATGAAAATTTGAAAGAAAAAACTTACCGTTTGTTTTGGCGTCTTGTAGCAATGTTTAATGCCGTTTCTGTACAAAAAAAACTGACAAAATTTTGTTCAACCTTTCCCTTCCCCTCCCTTTTCGTTGTACTCCGCGTGTTTGTTGTTTTTGTGTTGTCCGTTTGCACTATACGCTTTTCTTTGCAGTTAATTTCGCTGTCTTTAGCAATTTTTTTTTTGTATATTTTAGTTTTTGTTTTCAGTTAGTCATAAATGATTTTTATTACAAAAAACAAAAATATATAAACACAAAATTTATTGCCGCTCTGCGACAAATTCGCAAAACAAACACAAATTTTTTAAATTTTCTTTTTTTTTCTGATTGAAATACAACTGAAAAAGAAGGAATAAATTAGAAAATTATTAAACACAGAAAACAAAGCCGCCAAAATATTTTCTTTTTTACTTTAGAAAGAAATAAAAAAGTATTTCACGCCGCCTATTTACAAATTTCCACACGCACTTTTTTTTGTAACAAAAAGAAATATAAAAAAAACGCGAAAATATTATAAATATGAGAATTTGTTAAATTTTTGAATCTACTATTTTCTTAAAAAGAAAATAATTATTTTTGAATTTCAATTTAACACCAAATAAACTTCATTTTAAAATTTTTCACTTTGTCTACTTTGATCAAAACAATAAAAATAATGAAAGGAAAAATTTTGGTACAAGTGCACTTTTTTGCATGTAGAGAATTTTATTTTATTTTAACACAATATTTGCTTACTCCTTCTATTTTAAATCTGTTTACAAATAGTTTTGTAAATTTATATTTGAAGTACAACTTCAAAGTGATTTATAAACATATTATTGTAATAAATTTTAATAAAAAATATAATTTTTCATTTATAATTTAATGAAACGGGCGTCGACTAAACGAATTCACACAAGAGAATGCAAATTTTTCTGCCGCACAAAGTAATAGTGCTACCAGATTATATTTAATAGAAGTTGTAGAAATTATGTGGATTACATTGTGGAAGAAATTAATACTAAAAAATTATGTTACCAAATGAACAGATTTGTTAAACTTATATATGAAATAAATTATTTTTTTAATATATGCAAAAATATAATATATTAAAAATATTTTATTAAGGGAAATACTCAACAAATATGCTTATATAAAACGATAAATGAAATATAAAATATTTATGGTTTAATATAATATGAAATTTTCTTACCACTTGGTCTGGCAGCACATATTTATAATAGACATGAGAAGTGGATTGTGGATGATAAAGTATAAAATGTAAAATGGAAGAAAGTTAGTATAGAAATACAAAACAAATCCACGCCGTTCAAAGTAGGTTTAACGATTTTCACGATATTTTATCATAATATAAACTGGTAAATATATATAACTTTTTTATATACAAAAATTTTTTAAGATAAATAAAATAATAAAATATTAAGGAATTGTAATATTCAATAATTTTTAAATTATTCACATAATAATATTGGACAGAAATATATGCAATTTGAAATAAAATTGTCAAATAAATCTTATATAGTTTTAATATCTTCAATTGTTTTATGGATCTCTTATTAAATATTATTTTTTATAACTTATTAATATTCACTATTATTTGAACTTTTTTGTATGTAAGTTTTATAAATAGTTTTAAATTGTTGTTCATATAAAAACAAAATTTCAAAAAATAAACACTAACGCCATATTTTTATCAACTGATAATATATTATAAAATTAGAACCGATTTTTAAGTACTACTTTAACTTTAAAAGGCACTCATTTGCTCGAAAAGATGAATTCAAAAACTAGAGTATAGTCTTCACTGAAAGTAAATTATAAGCATAAATATATAAGAAATCTAAAAAATATTTTTTATTTTTAATTAATTATAATTATTTAAAAAATAAATAAATTTAATTAATGTATATATATATATATGTTCATATTATTATTTATTATAGATAATTAATTTTTCCCATACATGTAATTATATATTAATTTATTATATTTATATAAATAGAATATTTTTATATTATTATAAATTTCATAATTTTAAACTCAGCATAAAAAATTAAGCAGAAATATATAGCAATATATTAACTACAGATTAAAAAGTTGTATTATGACCTAACATAGTATAAAAGTCGTGTTATACTATATATAACAAGTAAATCATTTTCAAGATCTATAAAATTTTTTAAAAAAATATGTCAACAAATAAAATAATTTACATATTTATTTTCACATAAATGGCATTACTTTTGAATAATGAAAACGTTTAGAAATTCGCTCCTATATATGAATTTATAAAGTAAATTTTTATTATAAAAAAGTAAGTTTTACAGAAACTCGTTATCAAGTAAACATTTGATTAACAAATGTTTATTTGCTCTCCTCATATCAAGAAATTTTATTTAAAATTAACTTCTCGTTTATTGCTGAACACTTGTGTTCGATTCTTTACTTCTAGAAATTTAGTCAAACGGACGTAAAGTAATTTTATTGCACTTAATCTACAATTCCTAGTATATTTTATGGTGTTATTTAGGGGCTTACCAATGTAGGAATATTAACCGATAATGTATAAATATTTAGTCATTTTAAAATTGTAATAGTTTTATCGATAATTTTAATATATTTGAATAGCAACCTATTCAAACGCTATAAGTAATTGTAATTTCGCAGATTCTGCAGGTTTCACTAAGAACTTGTTCACATAGCAAATTATAATTTAGTTTTATAGTTACGCTCTTAAACGAAAACCTCGAATATTTAGTTATGTCTTGCTTTAGTTTATGAAAATTATTCACAGCAGTGGTGTCACTAGGCGATAGATAACCCCTTTCCCCTCTCAACAAAGAAAAATAACAACTGTAGCTAGGACAGTAGCTTAATTATGCGTAATGTTATTTAACTATATTTGCTAAATAACATTTCTGATATTACTAGTAACTGTAGTCAGCGATTGCTGCTCAAGAGTATATGAGCATTAGATTACTTTATTTTCTGGAGAATTTCCTGTAGACATTTATCATATGTCAGCGACAAACAATTGAAGATTAAATATAAGAGGATCAAATATAAGAGTAAAATTATAATAAATTTGAAACGTAAGTTCAAGTTAAATCGTAAGCTGAACCTGAAACGTAAGCTAAAGCTGAAATGTAAATTAAACCTGAAACGTAAGCTAAAGCTGAAGCCGAAACTCCATCGAGACTCATATATGAGACCATAGGACACTGTATATACCGCGTTTTATGAGCAAGACTATAACAAGGATTTGTAATAAAATATAACCTTAAAAATTTGTAGCATTTAGGAAAATGAATTTCTAGCAGCCAAAGATCAATAAGTTTAATAAAAAATAAAATGGAGACAGATAGATCGTGTTTAGCATTGTAAAATGAGAGGAATAGATACTATACTTAAAATCCCATTCATTTCAAATCCATTCTTACTCCTAAATAATTCCCTCTCCCTTTCATACTATCACTACTGTTTCTAATCCCTTTTAAGTTTATAGAGCTTTGCGATCTACAACAACAACATTCTACATTTTTTAAGTGTAAATAATTATTTTTTAAATAAATTTTTATGTATAAGTAAGTTATAATTTAACGTCAGTTATGACGGAAGTGACTATTTTAATAGAAACTAGTATATTTGGTAGAGAAGTTTCGAATAGTAGTGAACTACAGTAACAAAAATTCTTTTTATATTATTTTAATTAATTAAATTTTTGGCTGACCATACAGCTGTTTCAAGTTTTGCTAAATACCCATCATTATTGGTCTTGGAATTATTTCTTGTATTTAATTATTCGTAAATAATTTTTTGACATTGCTTGTACAAAGGGTTGAGCTCGTACCCTGCCAAATTTGAAGTGCAGAGTCAGCGTTCATTAGCCAACTGATCTAAAGTCGTACTTGACTTATACTCAGTTAATTCAATTAATTAAAATAAAATAACAAGAATTTTTGTTGTTGTAGTTCACTACTGTTCGAAACCTCTCTAATACATTTTTATACATAAATGTATGTAAAAAAAATTTGTTACATTGAATTATTTGGCTCTTCTTGTTTTGGTGAAAATACATATTCAACAAAAGGATATTGTGTAGGAACGGACGAAGTTTGTCGTTCTGGAGATGTGATAACGCGATCACATTCATTATTACCTGACATACTCATATGCACTCTGGTATTTGCATAAGATGATATTGGTATAGTGTTGTGTTCATTCAAAGATAAGGTATGTTGTGTTATTGAAGAGGACGAGGAACCTTTTCCATATACGTGATTAAAAACAGTAGCTTGTATTTCCATTCTACAAAGGAGCTTTTGAGGTGGAGTCATGTTTTTTACATGAGGTAATAAACTTATAAAAAAGGCCATATCTTCATCATTGCTATCAATTTTGTTTTTCGATTTTTTCTCTTTTATGTTCTTCTCCTCGATATTTCTAATATTTGAATATTTATTGAAATAACTTTTACATTTCTTTTGAGTTTCTGGTAAAGTTTTAAGAGTTTCCACATCAAGCGATATTTCCGTATCATAATATTTACGTTTATTACTCATAGATTGTTTTTCAGCTATATGAATTTCCATATCATTGCTACTATTGTTGTCCTCATATTCATTAAAGTCAACATCTTTTACTGAGTAATCTTCTCTTATAACGTTTTGCTTACTAAAATTAGAATTAGCTTTACGACTCTTTATTTGAGTTTTAATAAAGAGCATATGGTTGAAATAGGGCCATGAGGAGTAAGATTCATCAGCGCCTAGATCATCTAATTGTTGGGGTGGAAGTTTTTTTAGTTCAAGTCTAAATGTGTCTCTTAACTGTTTCCATCTCTTTCGCACCCAATTAACTGTAATTGTAAAAAAATATACTTACAATATTAATATTAATGTATAGTATATAGCATTAGTTATCACATGTATTGACAGCTAATAAGGCATATATTAGTTAGGTAGAATAGTTCAACCATGAACTATCAGTAGAAAAATAACTCTTCAAAATGAAGTAGCTTTCGATAATGTAAAAATTTGTAAAAGTAAATCACAAGTCGGAATGGGTCTACATCCCGGAATCACACGTCGAGTTCGACAATCAAATACCTTTCAGTGAACCCAAAAGGGACTACATACGCAGATCGTTGCGGGCTACAACAACGACATAGGCATCATTCGTAGAAACATTTTAAATAAAGTTTTTAAATATTTTTAAAGATAAATATTAAGATTTTTAAATAATTTCTTACTTACCATCTGTTTTTAATTGCTTGGCAATTTCATTCCATTTCTTTTCCGAAATATATCGATTGTAATAATCTTTATTCTTCTGATCCCATAACAAAGGCTTTGCAAAAACCGCAGCAATTAGCTTTGCATTAATTCCAGACATTTTTTAAAAAAATAATATAAAATCACGTACCTACTCATTACCGAAGTACAACCGACTAAAGTCAAAGCGAATCGAGAGCAAATCAAAGTTAAAGATAAAAACAACTACACACAACAGAGAAGATAAAGCAAACAAATCAGCTTCGGAAGTAGTGTAGCCGCATACAGCCATAGCTGACTGCTTGCGAAATCGCTTCGGCTTCAGCTTCAGCTTCGGTTTCACTTGCTTTCAACTTTTTGGACTTACACATCGTATATTGGTTTGTCTTTCCTCCATTCATTTAAGTTTGTTTTTTTTTGATGTTCTTTATATCAAACACTCTTTTATTTGTCACACTTATCACTCTTTTACTTATGTCACTGCTTTCGCACAGGTAACACAAACAACAACTGTTGATAAGTCGAATAGAAGTAAGAAGCAAACAAATATCAAATGTATTTGCTATATAAATTATTGTATTTTTGAAGTTCAGTGTGGTGTACAAACTGAAATTAAAGTGAGAAGTAAATAAACTCAAATACAAAATTACCTTTTAAACGAATTTATTTTATAAAAAAGTGAAAAAAAAAATAAAATTCTTTATAAAACGTTCACAGAAATTTTTTTTGAATTTTTTTTATTAGTTTGAAATATTTTCGTTATCAAAAATAATGAAAAAAATTGAAGTATTTTAAAATAAGGTGACCAGATCAAAAGTTTTTCAAAGTGGGACATGCAAGTTGAATTTAAACTTTGCGATTTTGAAAAAGTACTTCTTATACTATTTTCCGATACAATTTAATTTTGCAAAAATCTTAATTTTGTCTTCGTTTCAGCGAAATTAAATTGTTTTTTTTTTATACAAAATTCAGTTTTAAGGTTAGAACAAGTCATTTCAAAGTGTTTACATTCGTTGTAATTCATTTGTTCTCATTTCAAACAGCTGATTTTTCAACTTGCCTGTTGATTTGACATTTGGCCTGTGACAAAAAAATGTTGGATGCAGCTTAAAAATACCTTTAAACCTTACAATTTAAACTGAAAACTTGTTTTTAGCTTCGATTAATTTATTTTTGGGAAGTAGAAGTTCCAAAAAGAAGTGCATCGTTTTCAAGAAAATGCAACCACCAAACATTTGTTTACCTTTTTTTTGTAAATATATCAAAAACAGTTTTCTCAAACTGTCAAAATGCCATGAAAAGCTTTTATTTAGAGTATGTTCAATGTATTAATTGATCCAATGAATCTCATATGCGTTTGAGATTTTGTATGCAAAAATGAGTCATATAACATTTATTGATAACAAAGTTACAATTATTTTTTCATATTAGTAAATTTGCTGTTATTTTATAAAAGTGTATAACTGTAATTTGCTATCTCTGCAAATATTTCCGTTAAATGCTTCAACGAAAAACACAATTACCGCACTAAAACCAAAAGTGCTGCCAAGTCTAACGGTCAATTTGACATTTCTTCCAAATCAAAACAAGCAATAATGGGGAAGTTGAACAAACGATTGTGTTTGTATTTATTTTAATTTTTAATAATTATTTAATATATATTTATAATTTTAGTTAAAAGATACAATTTTATTAAGCACCTTATACAAGAAGTACGGTCATGTAGTTTTTCAAATTGAAAAGACCGTAAACATTCGAAATTTAATAAGGTGTACCGATGATTGGAAGCAAATAGAGTTTAAATTAAATTTTGACGATAAACAGAATTTTTATATTATAATTTGCTGAAGTAGAGTTTAAAAACAAACATCTTATTTTTATTTTGTTTGCTTGTAGTTAAAAAAGTATTTATCATATTTATAAATATAGTGGAATGCTAAAATTTTTAGATAGTTGATAAATTACAAGAAAAATTTTTTGCATTATCCATTTATATTTGAAGTGCTATTCATATCATTTGCAAAGATCGTAATTCACGGTCTTTCTAATATAAACAGATTGTGTTACGGTCTAAGCCAAGACCGTAAGAGAAAGCTTTTGAAAATACCGTAATGATTACGGTCTTTGCTAAAAGCTTTTTGGAGCCCTCTAAATTGAGCTTTAACAAAGGCGGAAAAGACCGTATAATTTCAAGTTAGCTAAAAAATTTTAATTTATGGTGGATAAAACAATTCCGTAGATTTTATTCATGAAGGTTGCGGAGAAGTACTATAAGTCAATGCATTGTTTTAGTTTAAAAATAATGTTTCACTGTATTATTTGTTTCTTTAAATAATATAATAAAACATAACGAAATATAAAACTATTAGTACGTTTTATATTTTTTATATTTATTCTATATAGTTTCTAAATATATTTCACCGATATATGCTTCCAATTATTACAACTTCTTGATAAAAAGTTCAAATAATACTCCATCCTAAAGAAGGTGTTAAGCAAACTTGACTTTTTATTAAATAAATATAAAATAAATATAAAAACCAATTAATAGGTTTTTATTTGGTTCGACACAAGTCTTCAACAACATAAATTATACTGTTAAATGAGTGAACTCGTAACTATTCCAATTTAAAAATTTTTACTGTGTACATGAGGATGTTTTCAACAATCATTCAATAATAAGGCATAGTTTACTTCAGTTAGTTTGCACCTCTTTTTGTGGTAGTAACTCCGCAGCGCCCACTTGTTATCCCTAAAAACAGAAGTTATGATCTTCAAGTTTGACAACATAATCTTTATCATTTCCAGAACTCTTGAGCTTATTTAAACTATACCTTTGAATGCTTTGTATATAGTCTCTGACATGCATGCCCCAGATGGGATGCATTTCTCAGAGGCTAAAGTCTTTCAATGAAATTTTTATTCTTTTGTGGACTTGGAATTCGTTAATTTAGCTGTTATGATACAGAATCTTATTAGATTTCTTATTAAATTTTTACAAAGATTAAGGTAATATAAACACTTTATTCGGAGCAACAACACAAGTGATCATGTTTATTCTAAATAATTCTAAATGTATATTAACTACTGATTTGTTAACAATTTTCTTGCAAAAATGGAGCTTAAGGATGATATTATTTGCAGATTCAATGAAAGGTCGAGTGAAATGTTTAGATTCTTAAGTCTATACGCTCTTATTAGATATATACCGTGCCTAAAAGAGAGAATTAAATGATGCTAAGACTAACAGATACTGTAAAATGCGAAGAAAATCATATGACTAGGAAAGAGGTACAGTATCCCATCTGGCATTTGTTGATATCTGTAGTCATGCGCCAAAAGTAGTCTAAAAGTTAGCGTAAGAGGTTATCTATTGAGTCAGCGATAGCATTTCTAAACGAAATTGTATTAACTGCCAAAGATATGTCCGAAGATCAAAGATATATACTGCTATATTCGGTAACTATGCAGCTGTATTGCATAATGATGTGTTAGTCTTTCTTTAATTCATCTTTATGTTAGATATATGACATATATAAAGTAGAACGCAGTCTACATTTAATACTACCTTAATTTAATAGTTTTTTCGTTTTAAGCAAAATATATTGAATTGGGAGTCTTCTACAGTCAACTCTTTTAATACCTGAACTACCTGTCATGTTTAACAAATAAGATTAAATAAGAAAGCACCTTTTGTTGTTTCATAGCAGGACAATGGACTACGTGTACATATGTTAGGTATGTGAATTGAAGATTTATTTTTATGGCAATACTCACTGCACCTATCAAATTCAAATATGTCTAATCTTTCAATTTCAAGTAACATATTTCCAATGATCATGTTTCATAGGTTTGAGCAGTTGTTTCCAATTGATTAATGTGAGCTCAATTATATTGGATAATTTCTATATGACTTTTAAAACTAATTAATAATAAATTTGCTACGTAAATAAATTCAAGAATAAATTCAATTAAAATAAAATAAAAAAGAATAACATTATCTTGAGATATATATCCTACATTTTTCATTGCAGCCATAAGTGTAATATTAATCCTAATTATATTATTAATACTAATAATAATAATATTAATAATATTATTATCCCTAATAATATTATTAAGGGATCATATTACTTACTATTAAAAAAGTAATATTTTTTAATAAAAAGGGTGTTTATGTGGTAATCGTCCGCAGCAATTGAAAACGGATTCATAACCTGTTACCGGGTATTCGTCTGATGCAGCATGTCTCTTCTGCTTCGTGCGCTCTTTGAGTCTCGTACATTAAATGCGGTTAGTGCTTCCTCAACTTGATCACTTCATCGAATGCATGCTTAATCTCTATGCCTTTTTCCTCAAACTATCGCTTTAAACACATTTTTCGTTGGAGCATAGTCATCCATTCTCTATTCTATTTTAATGCCATCATCCATTCAATAATTTAAGAATAAATTGAAGAATTTAACTGGAGATACTTATTTATCCTTGTTATTTTTTATTTATTTTTTATTAATTTTTATAAAAAAAAATTTTTTATAGTTGTAGTATATATTAATAACTCGTTTCATCCAAATATTAGAAGAAACTGGCTACTTAACTTAATTGTTAATAACTAAACTACATTCAGTTTTTTAGGTGTTCTTTTAGAATTTAGTTATTTTAATATTTTATTTTTAAAACTATGCACATTTTGTATACTAAGTGTCCGGAATTATTTGAATTATTACTTTGTTGCCTTTACTATAAGGAAATTGATTACAATAAACATATCCCAGCTTTTGATTCAATTCTTTAAAGAGTTCTTTTAGCTTTATTGAGGTATCAACTTAAATTATTTCTTTTCTTTTCTTTATTTCTTTAATTATTTTAATTTTCTTTAATGTTAGACATGGAAGACATATAGGTCTTATAGGACCATTTCAAGTTATATTCACTATCTGCTGATCTATCATATTCAATTGAGTGTTTTGCAAAAAAAACTTATGTAAATAGTGATACTTTTAAAGCTCTTTTAAATACTAATTCCATTCCGGACACTTTTTCAATAAAATGTATATATACGTATATTCCATTTTTTCATATTATCTTTACCAATGAAAAATCATGTTTACAGATAATATAATATCTGCTTATCAAAGATAATATCTTTAGGCATGCTTTTCAAATTATAAATTCCGGATACTTTTTACTTAATTTGTATTCAATCGAAAGGTTCAATCACATATCTCCTTTTAAATGTTTAAAATAGTTTTTTTAATATAAGAGAAATATTTTTTAAATAAATTTCGGGTACTATTAATTTTTTCTTTATTAATTTTCTTTATTAATTTTTTATTAAAATTTATAGCAATTTAAAAAAAAAAATGTTTGTCATTTTATTAATAAAAATATTATCTTATTAATTTTCTATTCTAATTTATAGAAAATTAAAAAAATTTTTTTGATTTTATTTTACTAAATTAAATTTATAAAAAATTAAAAAAAAATTTTCATTTTATTTTATTCTTATAATTTTTAAATTTTGATAATTTTTTATAATAAACAATTTTTGTTTTAGGAAGATTTATTATTGTATTATA